GACGCGGCGCCTGGAGACCCCAGCGCCCGCCTGCGGGGACTCACCTCCGGGCCCTCGTCGCAAGAGGGACGCGGGGGTTCCGCGGAGAGCAGGAGGGAGCGCGCAGAGGGCGCGCCCGCCGCGGCGGGGCGGAAGGAGCCGCGCCGGGAGGAGGCGGAGGAGGAGGAGGAGGAGCAGGAGCAGGACACGGCGCGCGGGGCCTCGCCGGCCGCGGGTGGACTCAGACCCCGCTCTACGTTGTGATCTCACGGGAAGGGAGCCCTGCACCCCGCATGCGGTGCCCGAGGACCCGGCCTGCCCGCCCTGCGCTGCCTCCCGAGCTCTCCGAGTCCCCGCGGCGTCCGCCCCGCGCCGCCCGCTGACTCCGCCCGCCGCCGGCTCGTCGGACTTGACTCCTCACCTCTGCACCCCATCACCTCGTCCCCTGCCTCCCCCTCGATTTCCTCCTCCTCGCCCCCCGCTTCCACCCTCCCGCCCCTCCCCCGGCCACCGCGCTAACTCGGGGCTGTGATGCGTGTTCCCGTAGATCCGAGCACCAGCCGGCGCTTCAGCCCCCCCTCCAGCAGCCTGCAGCCCGGCAAGATGAGCGACGTGAGCCCCGCGGTGGCCGCGCAGCAGCAGCAACAGCAGCAGCAGCAGCAGCAGCAACAGCAGCAGCAGGAGGCGGCGGCGGCCACAGTGCCCCGGTTGCGACCGCCGCACGACAACCGCACCATGGTGGAGATCATCGCCGACCACCCGGCCGAGCTCGTACGCACCGACAGCCCCAACTTCCTGTGCTCCGTGCTGCCCTCTCACTGGCGCTGCAACAAGACCCTGCCGGTGGCCTTCAAGGTGAGAGGCTGCGGCCGCCCCCGCCCCCGTCCCCTGCCCACCTCTCAGTGCGCGCCGGGCCAGAGTCCTCTGGGTCTCCGCTGGGTGTCACCTGTGCCGGACCCTGGTCCCTTGATCTCGGACCCCAGGCGCCCACAGTCCCCAGCGGCTCCTCCCCGCCCTCTCCCGGACGATTGTCCCGCGCTCTGATCTCTACCCGCACCTCCGTGCGTGCGCCGCGCCGCCCCCACCGCCCGTTCCCGCCCTGCTCGCGTGCGCGGGGCCACTGAGGACCCTCTCGGGCTCGGGCCCGCGTTCACAGGGTGCTGGGGTGCCGGGGCACCGAGTGCTCGGGAGGGTCCCGGGCAGACCGAGCCACACCGGGCCGGGAGGAGATCGCTGTCGCCCGAGGAAGCCGGGGCGCCCGGGTCCCTAGCGCTGGTCAGGATGTCAGGGTGCCGGGGTGCGGGAGCCCCGAGCAACTTCGACTCGCCTGGCTTGAAGGCCGCGGTAAAATGTCTCAGCAGCACTCTGTCATTCTTAGGGGGTCCCCAGGGATCGGGGGTGGAACCCGTTAGCTCCCCGCGGCGGCGGCGGGGTTGAGGGTGCTGGGTCCCGTCGGCCCATGATGCGGCCGGGTCCCCAGGGCGGCCCTCGCCAGGGGGAGACTCGGAGCCCCGGCTGTCCAAAAGCGCGACTGGACGCCGGGGATGCAGGGGCGGTGAGCCAAGCGGGGCGGCGAGCGCGCTCTGGAAAAGACGCCCCAGAGATCTGGTGGGTCAGTGGGTGGGCGCGCGCGCTCCAGTCCCCTGGCTCAGGGGTCTGCGGAGAGCGGAGTAAACAGGGCCTGAGGGAAGAAAAAGGACGCGAAAGGAACCGTGCCAGTGCCTCCGTGGGACCTGGGGGCTGCCCTCCCACGGGTCCCTGGCACTGCCCAGTGGTGGATCGCCCCACACTCCCACGCACCACTTTGGGTTCCGGGTGTGGGTGAGTGGAAAAAGGAGGAGGCTAGGTCAATTAGAGCCAGTTATCTGGCTAGGTCTATATCAGAACAGAAATCACAATGCATTGTTATGGAAGAGGATGCTTCCTTCTGGGACAAGTTTCATTTTGCAGCTGTCTCCAGAAAAGGTCTTTTTTTTTTTTTTTTCTTTTTCTTTTTTTTAAACCGTCACATCTCTCCAAAGCACTCATTCTGTAGGTTAATGTTTTCTTCCTTGAAATACGGAAAGGTCCGAATATGTGTGCACTGTAGAAAATTAAAGCTCCACACAGAAGAGCATCTTTTAAGATGCTTTTTTTTTTGGTCCAAAGACCCAGAATTTTCTAATTAGCCTTATGGGATGATGGGAATTTGTTAACGCCACCCCCCATGCCCCCAAAGCAAACCAAAAACCCCAAACCATTAATGAGTATGGCAAAGTACAAATGAGTAGATATTTTGTCTATATGATGCCACACGAGAATACACAAGCATATAAGGATAGCAGCTTACCCTTTAAAAAGTGTTACTTGTTTGATGTTCTGTGTACTGTTCTGCTAGATATATTTAATGTATAACTGTCTCGAACAATTCTCTTACATTAATGATGCTGAGTTGACTTTGTGCATGAGAGTTCTGCGTAGAAAGGATGTTTTTGGCCCACAGACAGAGTGCTGTTTAGTTTGAGCTATTTTGTTGGTTGTTATCTAGATTTTCTCACTACCATCCTTTTAAAGTTGTTTAGAAAATAAGCTTCTTTTTTTGCTATTAATCATAGTACTAATTACACAGAGAACGTTTTTGTTATTTCAACCAGTAGACAGACCATAGATAACATGACACCATAGTAAGTTGAATAATTTATATTAATAGAAAAATCACTCGAGTTTACCTAAAAGTTGACTCTCAGTATTTTACCATCTCTATGCCCGTGTTGAGTAAGAATTCACAAAGGAGGTTGATTGTGGAGAGTGACTCAAAAGAGAAGTTTTGCCTCTCTGCTTAAAAGTGTATAGATATTTAGACACTCAGATTTTGAGGGCTATTTTTATCATTTCCCCCTGAACGATGTAAAAACAACCTTTTAAAACAAAACTTTCCTTTTGGAATAAAAGCCTGAGAGCAGTAGACTTTCTACACTCTTGCAACATAATCAAATACATCTGCAATGGAGAAATACTATGAAGAAGTCTCTGTTTTAAAAGTGGTGACAGCAATTTGGCTATCATATTCAGAGCTATGTACAGAATAAATTATAGTGTTGTTAGGTGGATAGCACATAGGTATATGCAGTTTAAAACACACACACACAGAGAACTTAATTGTCGAGAAGTCTGGTATTCGAATCAATACAATATTTATTGAGCCCATATTTTATGTCTGGGACACTGAGCTGGGCACTGCAAACAGTCAGAGCTGAATTCAGTAGACTGTTTTGATATAATAATTGAAAATAGTACTTCCAAATGATAGTGACAGTGTATTCCATTAAGAAGTAAGGAAAGTTGAGGATTGCTCATGTGACCTTGTTTGGGGATTATATAAAAATAATTTATACTTCAACATGTAAAAATGCAAAAATAACTAATATGCTTTATATAAAGTTGTTTATTAGTTGTTTATTGTATCTTTAACACAGTTTTGCAGTTTTGAAATGTTCAGTCCCCCCAGGTGTCAAGGAAATGGAAATATTTTTAACATTTCTTTCAGGTGTATTTCGCAAAGAGCTTAAAATAGTTAAAGTGTACTATTAGGGGATCCCAAGCCCTTTCTGTCCCAGATAAGCTAGTGACAAAGAAGTAGTTTGCAAATTCAACCCATTAATTGATGGTCAGGTAGAAATAGTGGAGAGGGAATGCTTTAACCCTGAATCCAGTAGCATCCTTTAGCAGGAGTCTGTCAGCATTTCCACTGTGAAGTCTGGTGTTCAGGGTTTATAACTAAGTTGTTGTAAATAGCTTCAAGCTGAAATACTATGCAGAAAATTTAAGTCCAGATGTATATTTTAAAACTAAAAGTAATGCAAGCCTATAGCACTGTTTTAAGTTAGAGAACACTGGACTATATATATTTACCAGTTTCATATGTTTTTTTGGCAATGTTAAAGAAAGAAAACATATTTTTAGATATATGATGATCTAGTACTCATAGTTAATTTTGCATCTTTAATAATACCCTTCAGTATCATGAAAAGAGTTTCAAAATGACAGAGCGATTTCTATTTGAAAACAATTTTTGACATCATTGGCCATTTTTCTCTTTAAAAGCAAGACACTAAGGAGTTATATTTTTCCTATGTATTTAGTGATCAGATTTTATGTCTTTATCTTTCTAAATCTAATTACGCCTAAATGTGGGAAAATAGATTATTAAACCTATTGATTTCTTCTAAACTTAATACAAATTGTTTTATAAAATATGCAAACCAGAGTTGCTTTCAATTTGTATAAATACAGATACATTTTTCTATTATGTCTTTAAACACGACAAAGCTTATTTAAAGTCAAATATTTTAGCATCGAGTATAAAACTGGAAGTAGAACAAATAATTTCAGATGGAAAATATTTTAAAAATTTTAGAAAATTTATATTTGAGAAAAAGCATAGTAGATATCTTTCACTATTTTTCCCCTTGTGGAGCTGCTGTTTATATCTCTTCAAAATTCCAAAATATCTATTGTTAGGTGATCCAGACCATCTTGAGACATGGCACATAAATTGTTGGCTTACTCTGAAGGCATTTCCATCAAAGTTTTTCTTTGGCATATATTTTAAAAATTTGGAAAATGAGATATTCTATTTTATTTATTCATTTTCTTTAGTTCTATTGGCCTTTCCTAAATTCTAGGCTAAATTCTAAAAGTTAACTATAGTATTGAAATTTTTTTCGTATGTATTTAGAAATAGAATCCAGTTTTTGCTTTTTGCCAATTACTGGTTTGCTTCTGTTTGTATGACAAAGGAGGATTTGATCAGATCCTACCTTGGAAAATAATCATATTTCAATTATACTGCGCATACAGTGTGCCAAGTGATGGTGGCCTAGGAGAGTAATTGATTATCTGAGACTGGACTTCTATCCATGGAAATGTCATGGGCAATCTTAATTTCCAATACTCCATGACCAATGAAACAGTTTTAAGGGTTTAAATTAATTTTCCATTGTTCCTCTTTCAGAGCGATGCAGTTTTAGTCATAACACATCTCAGACAAAATTTCAGTAGCTTTGCTAAAGTTAAAGACCCTTTTGCTTTATTTGGTACAAGCTGCATATCATGTGATTTAAATGCTAGTTATAGTGAGGTGTGCTAAATAAGGGAACTTCTTTCTCAATTCTGAAATGTCAGAAGAGAAATTACTTCTCCCTTTCCCATGAAGTTTCTTGAAGTGGTAGATTTTATATTTTAAGAATACCTAGAAACATAAGTGCTACGGCTTCACCATGAATGAGTTTTTGCACAGCAGTACTTTTGAATTGGATAGCGTGGAAAAAAATTTAATTCGAGCGTACTTCTAACTAAAAAGTGATTTTTGACTCCTTTTTACCCTTTAATATGTTTTTCCATTGTTTGGGTTTGGTAAAGATAAAATATGTGAAAATTTCTTGATTCTTTTGGTTTTCTTTCAGATAAACACAGTTGAGAATCTCTAAGAGAAACTTTTTAGTTACAGAGATCTACTTTAAAAAAACCTCTCAGACATATAATTATACTTCTGATTAATATAAAGTCAAATATAGTATGCACCCTCCTCTGTACATACACTGTTTCCCCGTCTGAGGAAAACATTGGGCAGTCTGAGTTGGTAGAAGGAATAGCAGAAAAAACAATATTTTTAGCCATTCAATTCGAGTTTAGTCATAACAGGAAAGGTTGCCACTACATTGTTAGTATTTTTTTCAGGCCAAGTTCTAGGCCCCTAGATGACTTGTATAATTTGGGATTATCTATTTGTTCTGTTAAATATGATATATAAAACATACCAGTATTTAATATGGTCATTATTATGCTGCTTAAGCAAAGTAAAATGGATTTATGTATTTCACTCTTAGGATTTTTTCTTTCACATTTTCCCATATTGAATCAATTTTCTTTTCTTTAAAAAAATCTATTATGTTAAAAATATGCAGTAAAATAATAATGTCCCACAGCTCTTGAAAAGTTTTATATTGGGGCAGCTCTCTTTCTTTTTCTCTCTTTCTTTCTTTCTTGCTTTCTTTGTCTGAAATTTAGTCTGACTGGAGTGAAACCTACCAGCAGTTATCCCCTGTCTCTCAGCAACTCCAGAGAACATCTCAGGACACAAACTAAGGAATTACATATTCAGTTGAATCCTTAGAGATGCTTATAAGTGAAAGCCTATGTTTAACAAACTTGCAACAGAACACCAAGTTACCCTCTTCCTCTTACAAAAAGCAGATCACTATAATTATACTCTGTGCTTATATAGCATCTTCTACATTTTACAGTCTTTTAAAAATTATTTCCAACTTCTACTGGAAAACTGTGTTTCTACTTACTTGTGGGAAATAGTAGATACGTAACAAAAATAGGGGGGAAAGGTGGAACCTCTTGATTTTTAGTGCATTTATTCTCTTCTGAACAGTACAACCTCCCTCCTGTCTTTATTAATACTTTCTTTGACCTAGACAGTGAAGGAGGTGTTAAAAACAATATGTTAAGGGTTCAGAATACCTAACATCCGGGCAAATACTGACAAATGTGGCCTGTTATTTTAGTATTTCAAAATGTGAACTTTTCTGGCCTTGTGGATTTGAAATACACGTAGCATCCCTCCAGAGTGTAGCATTTACTGTGTTCACTGTACCCCTTGAGGGTACTAGATCAGGTATGCAGGGAGGAAGTCTTGTTCTCAGAGGAGTTGCTCTTGACCTGGAAGACCTCTCAGATCGAGAATAATTATACACCCCAGAGAACTAGTTGTCACCATGATGCCATCTCCTCTGAAATGGAGAAAGTTGCCAGAAGTCTAGTCTAGAGCCAGAGCACACTGCTGTTGGCAAGGGAGGCTGACTCAACCTTTAACCTGTTCTCTTTCGGTTTTAGCTGGTAGCTACACAGGCCTCTGGCTGTGGAAAGTGATGCTTTTTATGAAGCTCTTTTATTTATTTATTTATTTAAAAATATTTATCAAACCCTTACTATGTGCTGGACACTGTTTTGGCAGCAGGGCATCTAGTAGTGAGCAAGACAGATGAGCTGAAGGCCTCTTCCTTGCTGTGGTTCATATCATCTCCACAGGTATATAAGCTGGACTCCCAGGAGTGAGTCCCCAGGCTTTGGGCTAGCATCTCGAAAGGAGTGGGTTGATTGTTAATAAACACGCATGGAAATGGGCATCACTTGGCTACAGTGGGATGCTGGGAAGGAGGATACTGTAGATTTAAGAAAGCTTTATAAATCATGGCTACCTAAAATATAAGTATAATGGTATCTGTTTTATCACACCAAAAAGAACTCTTGAATAAGAGTATGGCACCTTGCATATTGGGGGCATGGAATTAAATGCTTAGGTTTGTCTTATGGAAATCTTGACAAAGGAAAGAGTAGCACTAGAAGTACAAAAAGATTAGTAGTATGTTTGCCAGATAGGCCAGCACACAGGGGCGTCACTGTCTGGGTCATGGGTTATGTTAGTGGGAGCCTTTGCCTCATTACCATGAGGGCATCTGGAAGCGCAGTTTAGGAGAGATGAAAATAATCTGATCCTGGAAGAGAAGTGAGAGAAAGGATTGTCCTCAAGGTCAAATCTTGGTCTTGTGCATTAAGAACAGTATTTTATATATGACAAGGAAGGGTCTATACTGCCAGCATTTCCTTACCAGGCTGCAGGTGATTCAGAGGTGCACACTGGCAAATTAGCTGACCCAGGGTAAGCTATGATCCCTAGGCTTGGAGCAGAGAAAACATTTGTTAGCTCCCAAGACTGATTATTCTGGATTTTTACTTGCCTGAGATAATATGCTTCGATTAACTGTTGAAGGCAGCACATGTTTCATTCCAAGATGGCAGATGGATTAAGGCACATTTGTGTTGTGGCTGAGGGTATATACTTTTTGTCTTTGCTACTCATTTGTCATTGATCATTTTCAGCCTGGTGTATATCTTTATTCTGTGCCTAGACTTTAAGTGTTTTAATAACTTTAAATATCCCAGTGGGTTCCACTGCATAGTGGGCAGTCAGTAAATACTTGTATCATTAAGAGCTGAGTATGGAGCCTAAAGTAAAGAGATGAAATGCAGACCCTAACATCACCACATCCAGGGCTCCGTGTTGAGAACTCCCAGGTTTCACCTGAAAGACTTCTGCCTTGGAGCTGACCAGGCTTTCTGTTCTTTAGCCCTAGATCCATATGAGACCACCTCTCAGGGTTTCCAGGCTGTAGACCGGAGATGCTTTAATGTGTATGATGCAATCTGCAGCCAGGGCATCCACCTTCCTTCTGAGTCATAATTCTTGTGGACAGCCCAACATGGGGATTTAATAAAAATGCACACATATCCTGTGAAGACTTCAACAACAAATGAAGGAAATTTCTGCTTGCCTTTAAAATGGGTGGACCCCAAAACCCTGGTCTGTTCAAAGTGGCTTGTAACCCCTGTAACAGACGCATCGTTCCTGTCTGCCATTGCTGGCCTGGGGCACCAAGTCCTGATAAGACACATTATTTACAGTGAGAATATATTCTCAGTTTTTAAGTTTTTCTGATGGGCGATTATTGCTGCTGTGTTTCCTGTTTTATGTAGGTGGTAGCCCTCGGAGAAGTACCAGATGGCACTGTGGTTACTGTCATGGCGGGCAATGATGAAAATTATTCTGCTGAGCTCCGAAATGCCTCCGCTGTCATGAAAAACCAAGTAGCAAGGTTCAACGATCTGAGATTTGTGGGCCGGAGTGGACGAGGTAGGTCTCTGATTTTTAATACTGATAATGGAATAAACACCTTTAAGATCCTCTGATGAAATGTAGACTCGTCTGTATACAAATCAGCACCTTCTTTTACTGAATGGAATTACTGTAAGATTTTATTTAAGTGCATCCAGACACAGAGGAGTGTTTGCCTGAGCACCCAGGCCTTTTTCATTTGTTTTATGGTATTGCAAATTCAAACAATGTTCTCAGAAGAACTGGCTGCTAAGGTCACTGGGTATGAGGGAAGGTAGACAGAAGAGTGGTTAGGGGATCAGGTTTTGAATTATGAGGAATCACATAGCTGAGTAAATTGAATGGTAAAGGGGAAAGAAAAATGGGTGTGTTGGACAGTTTTCTGATGAGAGCAGTACTGCTCTATATTGAAGCAAGGACAGCTAACATAATGCCCTTCATTTACAACATGTATCTCTACATGAGTTAATTCTCATAGCAAGAAACTATTACAAATTAGTTTTTCTTTTTATAGGAGACCTTTCATTTGAATAAGCAAATAACGTATTACATATGTTAGAACAGCTATGTAAAGTTGCCTAGACGAATGATCAGGACCCCAATATTTCCACACTATTTAAAGATTTCCACCATCTGACTCCATCTGCAAATATTAGCAGTCCTTAAAAGGATCATAAAACAGGAAGTAATCCTTTTTCAGATTTTCACAGCTGTTTCATAAATAGGGTTAATGTTTTTTAAAGTCTCTAAGGAGACCAATATTTTGGTTTTTATTTAGTTATTTTACAGACAGACTTCTACTAGTCGTTCACCTATTAAAAGTTTCATGTTAATTAATTAATTCTGATATTTCCATGTGAAGAATTTCAAGAACAGAAAAACAGTCCCCTGTGGGACTGAGATGAAATAAAAATCATCAAGCCTTGTGGATTCCCTGCAGCCCAGGTTGGAGTTAGCAAATGAGAAGCACCAATTTTTAAACCATGTCTAATAGCTGCCCGTTAGTTTGGATCAGATGTCAAATTATTACCACTGTGAAAACTTGATAAGGGAAATTCAAGCAAGGCTGTTTCCGATGAGTAGTTTTAGTTTACTTTCTAGGAACGGGGCCAAGAAGTTTACTTTTTAACTTAAAAAAAAATGATGCATGCTAATGAATTCTGTCACTGAACGAAAGGACTTATCTCTGCATCAAGTTTAGTTTATTTTCATTAAAAATAAAGAAGATGCATCCTTTACTGATTAGACTTGGAAAATGTGTGTGTGCAATCATTTTTCCCTCAGTTATTAGTTATTGATACAGGTTCACAGTACAATTAAAGTTTCTTTTTTTTTTCTAGTAAAAATAGAGAAAAAATGTAAACATGATGATTTACCTGTATGCTTTAAATTGTTTTTTCTTCCTATGCAATATTACTTTATTTTTTAACTAGAATAATGAACTTTAGAATTTCAAGGATGGGTGTTATACTTAATTTTGTTGTACACATTCAAGCTAATGTTTCCATTTATTTATGCTTTTGCATTATGTAGATGCTGCATAACTTTTTTTCTGATCAATTTGAGTAGAAACTATGGCAAAGTGATAGTGTACTTTGTAAACCCTCAACATATTTATTTAAGAAACTTCAAAGAGAAACTAAGGGTGTGCACTGTTTTACTATATTGGCTTTCTGAGTTTTGGCTGGTTTCCCAAATAGCAATTTTTATATTTAAAAAAAAAAGACAGACTTAACTGCTTGCAGACTTTTCACGCATGGAAGATGAAGAAAGCTTCTTTTGATGAAGTGTAATTATGTCCAAACAGAGCTGACCCCCTCCCCCTATATTTCTTATGATCTTAACTGAAGAAAGTAGGATTTTTCCTTTGAAGCAGCCGGGACTTGGTGGAGGATCTGAAATGCTCCAGTCTGCTGCCAGAGGCAGGATGGAGAAATTGGTCCAGACTTGTCTTCAAGACTTAGATGGGGGTGTCGGGGGAGCCGGTGCGGAGAGAGAGAAATTGATTTATCACTAATAATAGATTTTTATATCACTACAATAACATTCTATGAAAAGAAACAGAAATACCAAGCTAAAATGGAGAGAAAAAAAGGACTGAGAACACTGATAAGATAGCACTTTGAAAAAAAAAGTGGGTCAGTTTTTCAGTGGCAGGAAACCATTTAACTTGCCTCTGTACCCTTTGTACCTGACCTCCTTTTATAACAGTTTCTTTCCAGCTTCCTCTTTAATTTCCACACTTCTCCATTTCTCTTGTTTTAGGCTTATCAACATGTTGCTACCATTTTATTTTTCTCCCTAGCTTTACAAACTTTTTGTTTTCAATAGTGTTAGGAAATAGAAAAACACCAAGCTCCACAGATGTTACACGTCTTTTTTTCTTTCCTCCTGTGCAAACGTAAGCTGTCAGAAATTGAAAAACGGTCTTAGGTTTATAAAGGAGTCCTGTCACTACTTACTTGGGCTTTATGGGTCGTCCTATGACCACAAATTTTAAAAATGCTTGGGATGAAAGTAGAGCATCAATGAAACTTGCATTAAGTTAGGAGTGGCTTATGGGTTTTAATTGTCTTTTCCTTTTTCCCTCCTTTGTATTTTAAACAGAAGTGTTCAAAGTGACTTTGACCCTTAATTTTTTTTTTTCTAGCGTGCTTCCTCTCTTTTGACATCAAGCATGCTGCTTTTAATTTATGAGCATTTTTAAGCATCTACAGTGTACAGAGTGTGGTATTTTCTCAGTGTGGGATACCATCCAGCTTTCAGCCTTAAGCTCGCCTACCGTTCCTGACAGCCCCTCCGGCTAGGTTGGAATTGTTTATCAGTGATAGTTCCCTGTGTTTACCTTAACTATATAGCTTGAGGACATAGTATAGAACTAGTTCTTAGATGGGGTTACAGTTAGTTATCCCCAAGGAAGAGCCTGCATTTTTATCACTCTTCGGAAGTGATAAAAAAAGGGATTTGGAAAAAACTTTCTGTACGTTAATTTAAGGGAATTCTCAATGCCCACATACACACTTGACTCAGGAAATGTATTGTTTGTTCTAAGATGAAGAATCAATGACCAAGTTGGGTCATAGTTTCTGAAGTTTTTCTTTGACATTGCATACATGTTTCTTTTGAGGGGGCAATCAGTAAGGAAGGAACCGCCTCAGTTTTTGTTTTAATTGGTAAAGTACATCTTGATCCTGAGGATCTGATTTTGGAAGACTGTAGTTACACTTAAATGTTTCCTCCCCAAAACCCACCTCTTCTCAAAGGAAGTTTTTAATGGAAAACTGGTTCCGCTCTGAACATTTAGATGCTTTGTACATGAATGGTGATTTGTTATTTGGTTTTTGTTTCTACGTGAAGTGTTTCCCTGAATTTGGGGGAAGCACAGATGACTTTTAATATTCTAAATAAATTGTAAAGCTCTAAAATAGAAATAACCTCAAAACGAGTTTAGATAAATTAATGTACCGTATCTCTAGCAGGTTATTTAGAGATGTTAATGATAATGAGAAATATACATCCTTAATTTATTAAGATTAGCACCATTGATGATAACTGTGTTCCAACCACAGCCTTTGGAGCCCTGGTTAGAATGCAGTCCTTGGTCCAAGGACCACTGATCTGATCCAGAAAGGCACTGCGTAATGCTCCAATGTAAAGTAACTTTTAACCTAATGATACAGATACAGCTGTTACTCCTCTATATCTTTCCACTATTTGAGGTCTTATTCTGGACCCAGTGGCTTTCTATTCATGTTTCTAATCTCTATTTCTGTAGACTTTCAGTTTTCTATGACTAATTTAGACTGCTGGCTGTCTTATTTAAATCCATGTAACATCTAATATATATTGGAAGACATATGGTACAAAAATGGTGCTTGAAAGATAGATGCTTTCATCATCCTGGCTAAGATGTTACATTACTGCATTTATATGTACTATTTCTTGGGTACAGAGAGCTAATTGAGATACATCTAGAAGTAACTTTCTTTTTTGCTTGTGCATAGTCTCTGGCAAAGTAACAAAATTTTTTTTAAAAAGCAATAATTTTAAGATCAGAAAGGCCTCGATTCAGATCTGTTTTCCCCATTTATTAATTCTGTGAAGCTGGGTAAGTTACTAAGCCTCTTTGGGCTTTGACTTCCTCTTTTGTGAAATGGGGGTTGATGAATATAACTAGAGAAGATTAAATGAGATAATGTGTAAGAAGTAGCTGATAATAATGGCTTTCTAGTCAATATTAATTTTTCCCAATTCTTCCCTGTCTTCCACTTCTGTCTTTTTTTCCCTGTCTGACCCCTTCTCCCCCACCATGGAAAAGTACAGCCAAGAAGACTCAAGACTGTATATACTCAGTAACAAATGATGTGTGCCTTAAACAGATTTTAGGAACTTAAACATGGTCTAGGTTGAAAAGAAAACCCATTCACTGGACTTGACAGCCAAAAGACCTGTTTTACATTAAGCCTTATACATAACCTGTTCCATATTAAGCTTTGAAAAGATTGCATTAAACTTTGCATTGCTACATATTGTCTAAGATTTGTGTTTTGATTTAATACCCTCAGCTTTCAGTAAAAGAAGAAAAAAAAGTCTGAGCAAAAGAAAAGCAAAAGAAAACGAGCTTTTTATCTGTTACAGGAGCAGACTAAATGAGTACTCTGGCCCCAGATTGCTGAATGTTTTATCGAGTCACCGTTTCACGCCCACTTTTTCCTGTCTTGTAACAGTTTGCAGTTTTGACTATCTGACATGACTAACTGTTGCAAATCTAACTGATTACAACTGTCAGTGGGTCTGTGTAAGAGAGTCTGCTGCCTTCTGGAGACATCCAACATCCAGATCTGCTACCAGCTTTTTCCTGTCCCCCCCACCCCAATTCATCACATGTACCTCACTGATTTGAAGCATCAGATGTAATAATTCAATGAAGCACAATAAAAATCCACGTTTACATTAAGAGGTGTCATGTGTCTCCTGCCAAAGCTAAGTCACTGCCAGGGAGAGAGCGCCTTCAGGATTTCACAGCGGAGATGTGTGTTAGGGGAGGGGTGAGCAGGCAGGAGAGAAACTTTGTTCCAGTAATGATGAAATCATCATACCACAGGCACATTACAGCCAGGACAGGAGACACTGGCTGCTGTTAAAATGATTCCCATAAGAACTTCCCTCTTTCATCTTCCCATTGTAGTTTCAGCCAATGAAAAATGCTAAAGCCACGCGAAGTAAATAACATAATCAACAATGATTTACTATTGTTCTCTCATGGGGTCATGACCTAATCTTAAATAAAGACTTCTAAAATTGTCTGTGTCTGGATGTGCTTGGATGTTTTCTCCTGATGTTGGAGAAAACTAGAAGAGAATCTTCCACAAGTGGATCAGAGGTTTTGTTTTCATGACAGCTGTTGCTGCTGGGGAGCTTTCTTGGAGTTAGAGCTTTTTCTTACAGTAGCGCAACGAAGATGATGATCTCAGCACTAAATGGGGCGAGAGGCTCCTAACGTACTTGTCAGGGGGTTTCCAGTTTAGAGTAAGAACTCCTCACTCTTGGCTTTCGTTGCCTACTCAGAGATGCTTTACATTAAATGTGGACCCTGTGCGGCTGTACACTTATCAACACTGTCTTTTTATATTCACTTTGTACTTTCCCCTTTTACCTCCTCAGGCAAGAGTTTCACCTTGACCATAACAGTCTTCACAAATCCTCCCCAAGTAGCCACCTATCACAGAGCTATTAAAGTTACAGTGGATGGACCCCGGGAACCCAGAAGTAAGTACTTGTCTTTCTATTGCAAACGGTACTAAGAGTTCGTGGAGCCCCTAGGAGGACTTTATTCCAAATGAATTAGTGTTACTGCCATGTACACCGTGTTTGCAAAGTTTGTTATCTGCATGAACTTTTAGAGAGGCACAATTAGAACCTCACAGTGAATAGAAAATAAAATTGCAGCGTTAACCTTTGCCACACAATTGTTAAGACCTTTATAACTTTAGAAGTGAGTGAATTATTCACTCACTGGAATGATTGGCTAAGAAATTCTGCTCATCCACTCCATGTAATGGACAGGGTAGAACAGACCCACGAGAGCTGAGGAAACAAACAATAAACTTTAAAATCTCTAGCTTAGTCAAAAAGCATTCGCGCATGTTTCCCAGGGCCTAAGAATGTGTTTTAGCTTTTTAGCTCGCCCACTCAATTCCCTTTATAAAGAGCACACTGCTTAATTACAAAGAATTTATTTGCAAATGATAACTTGCTTGATTGTTACAACACTGTTGTTTGGTCATGTTCTAGTAATTGTTATAGTTTCTTTTAACAGATACAGCCAAACTGAGTTTAAATCCACCTTGGTTTGTTTGTGTGTGTAGACATCCAGAAGGTTTAACCAGCAGTTAGTTTAAGGTACTACACATACTCTGATTGAGCCACTATGTGTTTCCCTCCTAAGTTTAAACTGAAACTGGTTTAATTTTCCCTTTCCCTACTGCCCAAACTCACTTGAACAAACTTGGCATAACAGTATTTAAATATATTTGGAGATTAAAAAGTATTTGTTGCATGAAACATTAACAATTTCGTTGCCAGTGGAAATACCATATAGACCTCTGCTTTGGCAGTGTGGATACACTGAGGGTCCTAGCCATTGCACTCAAGGAGTTTAATTTGGTTGGTGGTGGAAATAATCACCGGCAGAAGCTTTTTGTTCTGTGCCACTACACCTGCCTAGCTAGGCCTAGCTTTTCTTTTAAAATGAGAGAAAAAGGCAGATAAGATTTTACTGTCTCCAAGTAGTGTATCTTTTAACAGTGGGAGCCCCTCAGTGTCTCCTGTCCCTTTTGCTCCTGTCTCTTCTGACAAAGGCTGACTGCTTGCCTGAACTGGGGAGGTTTCCTGCCTCCAAAGCATGTCTTTGAGGTTTTTGTTTTCTTCTCCTTTCATGTGTATGGCCTTCTTCCAGACTCATAATGCTGGGTCAGTACTGGCTCTGTCTGCTAGTTTGGAAATATCCTGGGAGATGGTTTGAGACACTGGTGTGTGAAGTCCCAGGTTTCCAGGCCTGAGGGCCATGGTTACACAGGGCAGCAGATGAACAGGACAGAGCAGGGCTGTCTTTTTTGGTTTGAGATTTGATGACTTTTCTGTCCCCAGAAATGAGGGGTGATGCTTTATGATGGGAGGCATCTCCTGACCTTTTACTGCCTAGCTCCTGAGTTCTTGAGAAAGTGGGGCTGACATTTAATAATGCATAAAGCAGGGTAGTAGTCTGCTACCACTTAGCACCACTAATGTTGGTCTTTTAAAGAAGTTTCCTGTCCATCTGAGCTGCTTTCTTCAGTACTTAGAAAAGCTATTATTGTGTGTGTGTCAACTGGAGTTGTTGCTCAAAAGTTGGTGATTTACAGAGGAAACAGGGAAGGATGGTGCTGCCCCACTCTGAAAGGAATGACGGGGTGGGGAGGCAATGTGGCTTTGGGAGAGACACTTTTGAGTCAAGTGTGACGGCATCACCTCTTTTCAAAGAGACTTTTGGCAGAAGAGAATGTATGTGTGATCAGTTCAGGCTTTGGGTAGTTCTGGGGATGGTTGAAGCAGATACAGACCCGTGAGTGGAAGGCCATCTGTCTCAATTCAGCCTGAGTGACACTCTTTTGTAAACTGTGAAAATCTCTGTGAAGTTATGATACCATTTTCCTGACATCATGCAATGACTTACCTAGACAGAAGGATGGGTCTGTTGCCAGTAACAGCTTAATCCTACAACCTGGACTCTTGTACTGGATTATTTCCTTCCGCCTTGCTCTTGGCCATCTGTCCCAAGCATTCAAATTTACCACTGCAAAAGCAGTCTAAGCCAATATGTAAACAAATGGTCATGGCTGTATTCCAATAAAACTTTATTTACAAAAACAGGTGGTGGGCCAGATGTGGCCCACAAATTGTAGCTTATCAACCTTTGCTTCAAATTTCAAAATGGCTTATTTTTTATCAACCTTTACCAGAGCAAGGCATTAATGAAAGGCTTTCTTAGAGGGAGAAGAAAAAGATGATTAATACAGTTGCTTTAGCCTGTCTCCCTAAAAATAATAATCCTTTACATAGTGGTTATTTATCCTAGTGATAGTACACTGCTACGCTGCTGTTTATTACTGTGGCAGTTTGAAGGAGTTGAGGATTTTGTACTATTGGTTCCTGTTTATAGTTGGGATTTTTCTTCTTCCTCTAAAGATCTGAGTATGTATTGAAGAGGCTTTTCTGGGAGCTCAGCTGTTTGAACAGGGACAAGTTCTGGGTTAACTATTTGGGTCTTAATGTCAGACTGCTTGAATTAAAATCCCAGCTGTACCATTTATTTGCTGTATGGAGGCACACAAGTTCCCTAACATCTCTTTACCTTGGTTTTCTCATCTTTTAAAGAAAGAATAATAAAAATAGCATCTTCCTCATCAGTTGCTGCAAAAGTGTCACAGTGTAGCATATCTAAAATGGCTAGCACAGTGACTGCCATGTAGTAAGCACTCACTAAATGTTAGCTTTGATTGCATCAATCGCTTTAGTGTCAGAAATTTGCTGTAGCGTTTCGCTTGTAGTATACTTCCAGGAAACTGATAACCATCTAGAGTTTGTTCTTTTTTTCCCTTGCAGATAGCTTTGCTGATTTTTGCTCTATAGTAAATGGCACTAATAAGTGTTATGACTTATGCCTTGAGCTATAGATACTCACACTGCCTGGGGAGAGCTGTGCAGAACTGCTGATTAACATTATTTGTATATAGCAAACCCAAAACAGGATGCTATGACTTTAGTACCCCACTCGAGGCCCTGCTTGTCAACCATCTGCCACAACTTGCCTTGCTCTCAGAAACCCGAAAGGTTTTATCCTCCTGTGTTTTCTGTCTCTGGCAGCTGAATCAGTGCTGTCACATCACAAACAACTTCTTTTCTTAATATACACATCTGGCGTTGGCAGTTGGACTAACTTCATAAGAGCACATGATCATCACTCATTACAAGATTAAAAAGCACCCCATGGCATCATCGATGTTTTTTAACTTTGATCTTTTGCAGTCGTGATTCATCTCAGTTATAAAACTTCCCTTTAAAGGAACATCGCAGATGACTTATTAGAACCTTCATCTTAAGCAGCGTAAACATGGAAATGGTGCACATCTTTGCAGAGTGCTATTTATTTCTTTTGCCAGCTTATCATTTTAAGACATGACATCATGCTTAAGATCCCAAATTTGTAAGTCTTGTATGTAGGCGAGGCATCTTGACCTTCTGTTGGCAAGTCAGCTGCATCTGTCCGCCAGCAGGAGAAGTCAGCACAGTGGTGGCTGCAGGGGTAATGCCTTTGATTCTTCCCCCTTTTTAACATCAGATCCTGTTAGCATCCTCTGTTTCCTTTGTGCCCTTGGTTCCAACCCTCACCTGATTTAGAAAATTTCTGTGGGAGGGGAAATCTTGCTTAGCATTGTCATGTTCTGTAGGATGGCTTTGAGTTGGGGAAGAGGATTGATGGATTTTGGGCTCTGTGCAGAATGGGAAAAGTAAATCACTTTACAGAGTCAGAATGCCCCTCACTCTCTTTCTGCACTCTCAGTTATCTATTGCTAAGTAATAAAGACTGTGAAACATAATGGCTTAAAACAATAACTAGCTTTTTACTCCTCACAGTTCCATGGGGCTACCTTGGATGGTTTTGCTGCTGGTTATGCTTGGGAGCTGTTGTGTGGCTGCAGTCAGATATGGCTGATTGTCCACTGCTTGGCAGGGTGGCTTGGAGAGTGGATGGAGGGACAGCTGCCACTCAGTCCCATTTTGTGGAGTCCCACGGCCTCTTTCTCTCCACAAATCTTCTCTATGTCACCTCTCTGGGACTTTCCAGTGCAGCCTGGCTTCCTACATGACATCTTAGGCCTCCCTGTGTGCAGAAATGGCAGCTGTTGGGTTTTGAAGGCCTAGGCTTAGAGCTGACGCAGAGTTGGTTAAAATAAGATATAGCAGAAACTCAGATTCAGAGGGTGTGACCATGCCAAGGTGTGAGAGATGGGGGAGTGGTTCCGGGGACCACTTGAATCACCACTTCCACGAGGACTTAGCTGGCAAGCATCATCGTGGCAACAGAAGAAATATGTTTTTCAAGGTACCAACTTCTGAAAGTCCTTTTGACCTTTTAAATCGGGAACATGTAAAGTTCTGCAAAGTGGGTGCAAGTTTCAATTATAGTAGCTTCATTCTGAATTGACCAAATCTGCAAGTATCAGATGAATTAAGGGTGGGCATTACCTTGTGGTGCTTGGTATTAGCAGATCAATATGAAGCCGAGGCAGGTCCACACTAGGATAAAAGAAGAACGTTAAGTGTTTGAACAAAAAGAGGTGTGACCCTTGTGTACAACATGGGAAGTCTGTAGCAGAAATATCATATGAATCCTCAAATGCACAAGCTCAAAGGTTTTATACTTTTACCCTGCTTTTATTATTTCGGTGAAAGGGCACCAATCACTGAACCCGAGTGTCTTGGTTACTTTTCTCTCGTTGCTGAGACAAAATACCCAAAGCCCAAAATGAAGGAAGGAAAGGTTTATTTAGCTCACAGTTTGTGGAGGTTTCAGTCCATACGTGGCTGGCTCCGAGGTAGAAGATAGCAAAGCAACAAGAGCAATGGGGGGAATGGCAGCCGAACAGCAAACAGCCAGAGCAAAACCGGAGGAATGGCGGCAAGCAGCTTTTTTTTTCCCTGCCTTACTTTGTAAACAGGCTACCCCCACCTAAGGGGTGTGCAGCTCTCACATAATCTCCATGCCCTCCTCTTCCACAGGCTCAGGATGTATACAAAGTAAGTATCCTGGCTTCCTGCTGAGTCACTTAGCCAAACCTCTAGACTCCCCAAGTTGACACAACGTATCAACCATAACACCGAGGCTGCTGCACTGAGCTATATCCCCATGCCTTTTTATTTTTTGAGACAGGGTCTCACTAAGTTACCAAGTTTCCTGGGCCATGTTCCCACTTGGGCTCTTCCTACCTCAGCCTTTCTGAGTGCTGGGAATACAGGCATGCACTCAGCTAGCTTTTATACTTTATATCATCTGGTTTGGAGAATGCTTGGCCAGCACACCTGCAGACTTCCTATATAGGACACATGAGAGTAGGTTTCCAAGAATTTTTGTGTGTTGCACCTTGAGGACATTGACCATAGTTACTCTCAGGGAAACACCAAAGCTGTCAGCTACACTTCCTGAGGGAGCATTGTGACCCCCTCAGACCTGTCTCCGAAGCTGTCAGCTACACTTCCTGAGGGAGCATTGTGACCCCCTCAGACCTGTCTCCGAAGCTGTCAGCTACACTTCTTGAGGGAGCATTGTGACCCCATGAGACCTGTCCCCATCTAGAACTAGGCAAAATAGAGAAGCTCTGTCTCCCCCGGATCTGGTGACCCTCCTGCAGGCCTAGAAGGGTTGGAGGTGAGGTGAGTGGGGGGTTCTTGGGGAGCACAGGGGCCATTTGGGATTCTAGACCTGCGTTTACCCCCATAAGGCTTATGTCCCACATTTAAACTCTTTTTTCTCCTGTCTGCTTATTTGTACTAATTCATCAACAAATGTATAACTCTCCACCAGTTTTGTTTTTCACTATTCTTTCTTTTGGTTTATTTTTATTTTTTGAGTCAAGGTCTCACTATGTTTAGGATGGCCTTGAACTCATGGTGATCCTCCTGCTTTAGCCTTCCGAGTGCTGGGATTACAGGTGTATATCACTAGGCCAGTCTGATTTTTCTATATTCTGTTTTTTTTTTTTTTTTTTTTTGAGACGGGGTGTCACTACGTAGCTCAGGCTGGCCTTGAACTCACTGTGTAATCCAGGCAGACCTTGAACTCACAGCAGTCCTGATCCTCCTGCTTCAGTCTCCTGAGTGCTGGGATTATAGGCCTGTGCCCCCATGCTTGGCTTTTTTCCATATCTTAAGGCTTATCCACTTGCATGAGTCTTACCTTAACAAATGGGAGGTGGCAGACTTAACAGCATAGGTGGTCTGGCCAAAGCAGCATTTTCTTTATTTCTCCTGCTGTTCCATGTAGTTCTGAGACTTCTCCAGCCTTGTGATGGGTGGAGAGAAAGAGGGCTTGGCATTTTCTCTTCCTTGTTCCCGATGATGTCAGGGCAGCTAACCTCCATGCCTTTTCACCCTGGCTGGGTAAAAGAACAGGCTTTTGTGCTAGCTGGCTGATCTCTGCTTGTTTACCAGTCGTGAATGCTTAAGCAGAGGTTGCCCCCATGTATAAGAACACGGGGAACCTGTAAGATGTGTTGGGCACAGGGACAACAGGAGAATTATTGACAGTTATTTGATAGTTCTGGATACAGTTCTTGCATTCACATTCCTGCTGTCTAGCAAAAGAATTTGAGAAAACCTTGCTAGGCCTTGTGCCATGCTCCCCATGACCCAGGCCTGAGTTTTAGTCCTTCATGTAAAGCGTTAGCAGTGAAGCCCTACACTTCTCAACTTTCCCCTGACTTTTTCCATATTTCCCTTGAATTATTCCCTGTCTCTGAAGTGGCCAGGGAGTAGAAGTTTGGGCAAATGCCACGCTTTGATAGTTACAAGAGAGCAGACACAAGCAGCAGTTTGATGGTCATAGATATTAATCATTTGGTCACGTATATAACACATTGTTGAAAATCTTTGATTTCATAGTAGCAGCTAAAACACCCACAGTTCCCCTTTCCCCTTTTTTCTGGAATGACGGAGAAGGGGCAGTCAGAAGCTCGGGTGGAGGTTCTGTCTGGTGGCTGCGGAACGTGTTCCTGAGACGAGTACTTTTAAATCTCTTTCAGTCTCTCACCCCCCCGCCCCTCCGGCTCCTTTTTTTTCTTTTTGACTGACTGTCAGGAGCTGGGAACATGGCCAAGAAGGAAATGACACATGGAGAGGCATTCTGTGTTGTGCAACATTCTGTGGAACTGATGCAAGAATATATGGCCTGTTTACACATTCCTCTGCGAGCAGCCGGCATGGCAGTAATTTAATTCAGCAGCGCATGGCATGCTGCAGCAGGGAGCTGTGGCCTTAACGTCCTTTCATGGCAAATTATCACAGCCGTTAAAACATGCTTGTGTCCCTCCTCTGCACCCTCCCGTGGCCTCCCAGTTCCGAATGTGCTTTCTCATCGGATGGGGCTTGTGTTAACAAGAAGCCATGGCTTCTACCGTGAGAGCACATTTTCCGCATGCGTGTGCTGCAGTGGATGTATTTACTTCTAACTAAATATAGCATGACAGGTTTTCAAGTGATATGTGTTCTAAAAGCACACACGTGCCTGATCCACATGTGCCAGTAGTTTATGTCTCAGGGCAGGTCAGAAATGATTCTTAAAGCAGTGTTAGGGACTTGAGAGAGATTTTGAGAAAGAGTCTTTTTTTTTTCACTCTTTTTTTTTGATCTTTGCTTATAAAAGTGAATTTTCCTTTCTAAGAGAGATAATTTGTGATAGATTACTGAAATATTCTTTTAACTTCTATTTTATTGTGCTATATGGTGTTTTTTCAAGGAGAACTGGACTATAGGGAAATAGGTTATGTTTAAAAGTAACAGGGAAAAGAATTCATGATACTGCTTTTCATCTTCATCATTTCCCCTACCTAGGGATTTTATAAGATAAAATAATTTATGACATCAAATAAAGTATGTTTTTGGTTCTTCGTGTAAAATTGAATAGTTTTCATTTAGGCAAGTATGGAAAATAATTTCTCTTATTTTTTAAGGAACTTTTAGTAATTAAGAGAGAGCATAAAAACATTTAGGTCTAAAATGCTGATTCAGGAGCACATGCAACACTTAAAAAGAGAAACCATGTTTGTGATGTGGTACTTAGGTAGTGCAGGGCTCTCTGTGCCTCTGAAAGCTTCCCCAGTACTGTGCATGTGGATAGAATCTGTTTGCTAATAGACCAAAGCACTCCTCTAAAATTGAGGATGAAGGCTTAAACCAGCATCTCTGGCAAATGTAACTCAGACTTACATTCCTACTAAGGTGAAAATAAGTGGTGTAGAATCCTTTTCTGGGAGCAGGTTTTAGGAAATAAAGAGGAGTAGAGAGATCAATGAAGATCTGGGTACCAGAAAGTAAATATCGAGTCACACACAGTGTGCTGGGTCTTTGCTACCGAAGCCAGCAAGGTTGCCAGCTTCAAACATCAATTTTGCCGCAGGTCAGCTGTGTATAGCAGTGTGGTTCCAGAGCTTTCCAGGCCTGGTGTACCATTAAGAGTGCAGGGTTTTACAGTTTGAAGGTGAGGTGAGCTGGGGGTTTCTATATTATATATTTCTTCCTTTTGCAAAATTTCCCCTTTCGTAGACTAATTCCTTATCAAGTTTTGTTCTAGATCTGTGATAGCTTTCAAAATCATCACTTAATTTCTTTGCCACTTTAACATGGATATTTAGCATAATGGAATTAGTCATAATGTCTGCCCCTAGGAGAATGTCATATTAAACTGCAATCACTTTCTTTCTCCTGACATCTGATGTTTTAATTTATCCTCTTTGTATATTTTGTGATTAGTCATTAGCAGATACTTTAAACTGTGGGTGCTTATTTTACATTTACTCTTTGTATTTACTGATTTATTGGCTGGCCATTCCTTCTCTTACCTCGTTTCTTCCTTCTGGGCTCAGTTTCCTTTTTCTTGATACAGGTCCTTGGGTAAGTTGCTTCGGTGAGACCTTGTTTGTAGTGAATGCTCAGCCTTTGCTCCTGCAAGTGTTTGCGTTCGTGGGCATTGGATTGCTGGAATCTGAACACCACACTGTTAGCCATTCCCCTATGGAAGGACTTTCAGGTCTTTGTTATTGGGTTACCTGGAGTAGCGCTTCAGGGCACAGAACACAGGACAGATAGATATTCCTGGAGGATGAGGAGGAAGGAAAGTGAACCTTAGCGCCTGTCCTCATGGGGAACTCGAAGAGTCCAGGGCCAGTGAGTGGGAAGAAAGTGGGAGGGGAAAGGAAGGAACGAAAAGTGAAATACCCCACTTCACAGTCTGGCCTGGGGCAGGCCCTCCGATGTTTTAGAACCTTCTATCCAAATTTTCCCTAAAGAACTCTAGCATTATATTTGATCCTTGGAGCTCATCTCATTAATCAACCTGAGCAGCAATCCTTACATGTTGGTGCACACACGTTTTCTGTCATTTTAGTGAGAGTGCAGGACTCAGAACAAAAGATGCTTCTTGTTTTATATGGTAAATGAACTGAAGGAGGCAGAGATAAGTAAATAAATGTATGGAACAGAGGGACATGGTTTAAGAGAGCCCAGATACCAAAATCTGGAGGAGAACTGTCCCTGGTCAGATGTTGTGTGACCCAGTCTGGTACGTGTGCCTCTTGTTGGAGTTGAGCTGAAGTGGCAGGTGGGGAGGAGGTCAGCTGACATTGGAGTTTGCCGGTCCTCTCTGCATTTCCATCAGCCCTCAGACTGGAAATGCACTCTCTGGGCCATGCATTTCTTCTCCTTCTCCTCCTTCTCCTCCTTCTCCTTCTTCTCCTTCTCCTCCTTCTCCTCCTTCTCCTTCTTCTCCTTCTTCTCCTTCTCCTCCTTCTCCTCCTTCTCCTTCTTCTCCTTCTTCTCCTTCTTCTCCTTCTTTGCCTTCTCCTCCTCCTCCTTCTTCTTCTCCTCCTTCTCCTCCTCCTTGTCCTCCTTCTTCTTCTCCTTCTCTTTCTCTTTCTTCTTCTTCCTCCTTCCCCTTCCCCTCCTCCTTCTCCTCCTCTTCCTTCTTCATCTTCTCCTCCTTCTCCTCATCCTTCTCCTTCTCCTCTTCCCCCTTCTCCTCCTCATCCTCCTTCTCCATCTCCTCCTCCTTCTTCTCCTCCTCATCCTTCTTCTCCATCTCCTCTTCCTCCTCCTCTTCCTTCTTCTTCTTCTCCTCCTTTTTTTTCCTCTTTTCCCTTCCTCAAGTTAATTTTCTTGAGTGGAAACCTGGGTGAAAATGCTTGTGTGTAGTTTTGTTGTTTTGGGGGATTCTCAGGATGACTTAAGCTGGTCTCCTTGTCTCTTTTGGATTGGCCTTGGGAATTATTAGCAGAAAAACACAGGCCCTGCAAGGAGATTATGAAGGTACTAAATGAAGGTGGTTCTACAGGAAGCAAGTAGAACTGTAGATGCATACACTAAAAAGCAGGGTGAGTGTGAAGTCTGGGTTACTAATTCTAGAGCTTTGGTTTCTCTTTCACCTTTTCACCATTCACTCCACCCTGTGAGGACAAGTGACAGCATATTGTACCATGAGGACTGTGGCAGAGTAGTATGGCAGGGCATTCATCTTTCAGGGTGGTTTGTATTTAAGATGTGGGTTTGCGCATGGTTAAGGCAAGTGGAAGACTTGGAAAGTCTTTTATGAGACCTCGGTGCCATCTTAATGACCTTAAGCTAATCGCTAAACTCTTCTTCAGTTGGGTTTCCCCATCATTTAAATGGAAATAGACATGAAGATAGCTTCACAGAGTAGCTGAGAGTAACTGCTAAGGAATGATCATAAAGGTCTTGGCACTCACAAGGGCAGCTTCAGTACCAAATGGTAATTATATAGCACCTTTCTGCCAAAGAGTTCCAAACAGGCATTGTGCACTTAACAGGTAGATAAACTGAAACACACGTGCCTGAAAACTTATTTGCCCTGTGTCATTCCACAGGTAGGCAGAAACATAAAGATAGGCAAGGGCCCCAGTTCTCTTTTGGTTCCATTATTTACTACTAAAACTCCCTGATGCCTTCATCATTAAAGCTGTGGAGACTTCTGGTATGGAGGTTTCTTCTGGTGGGTGTTGAGAAGCAGTGTTATGTGACAAGTGTGCCTACCAGTAGTGATGTAGTAACCTTGCTAAATGGTAAATAAGTCCAAGATAGAAGGCCTGGCACATGGCGCACATGAATTTGTAATATATATGTTTGTGGAGTGAGCATTGAATGCATTAAGATGAAAGTGTAGCCAACAGCTGGAAACACTGAATTTTGTGAGATGAAACTCACAAATTGTAGACGTTAACCCTCAGTAGAATCTCACTTTGAATAACAATATCATAAAGTTAGTTCTTGAGGGGAAAAAGTTAACTTTAAAAAAATTACACAAATAGAAAATGCAGACACGTTGCATGGGTGGCCCCCAAAAATCAGAAAATAAAAATTAAAAGAGGAAAAAAAGGTCGTCTATAACTCCCAAGATTACTAATGCCATGCGGTGTACCCCCCTGCGCATCTTCCTGTGGTAGTGCTAGGACTTTTGTGAGGGTGACAGCAGGGAGGAAATAACATCAGAAGGAGATGGCATGCTGCAGACTTCATGGCAGCATAGCAGCTGAGAGGAGAGGGAACTGATGAAAGAATAACTGCCTGGAGAAGATGATGAAGGGCTTGGTGATGTGATTTCCCAATAATGGAAGGCTCAGTGGTGGGAAGACCGGGTCCTGCCTGGGATGTGAGATTTCATGATCAGAGAGAGATCCTTACCTCCTACCCTTCCCACCACTAAAACATCAGGCCTTTATCATAGCTGCCAGAGCTTTTTCTGTGACCCTTAGATATGCATTTCAAAATGTAAATATTTCCAGCAGTGGGAATGTTAATTCATTCAAAAAGCTATTCTGGACCATGAGCTTTACTGTTTGCCAGGTGCCAGGCATACAAAGCAAGACAGCAGGTCTGTGCCTTTGAACAGCCAGCATTCTGTAGGGAAGACAGACAAGAGAGGATTAAGCAGACATTTATCTACAAAGGCCTCTAATTGTAAATTGTGATAAGTGCTATTAAAGGGACTGGTGTTGTAATAAACAGTAATGGGGCTGCAGGGGACAGAAAGGAGCCTGTTCTAGAGTGATCCAGGGAAGGCCTCTCAGAGGAGATAACATCCCACACAGACTTCGGAGTGAGAAGC